GAGTTCCCAAGAGAGGCATCACCTCTGTCACAGGACAGTTCAAGACCCATACTTCAGTCACCACTCCCAACAACCTAACCACCAATCAATGACTTTGTCACAGGAGAAGAAGTTTCTGGAGAAGGGGTCTGAGGATTCCCAGAAGCAGGCTGACTCGGCTCAAGACTAGCTGGGTCCTTGGCATATGCATCAGAGAAGAATTTCAGCATGAGCCAGACAAAGACATAGACTGGGCTTTATTTAGGAAGGTAGATACACATTCAAGAGATAAAGCGGCTGTCTTGAGTGAGGAGCAGCCCTGACTTGGGCTGGGGGCCCAATATTTAGAGAAGAGCTGTACTAGAGGCTGGAGTGGAGGTGGATCCAGGGTGGGGCTGCAAAATTTCTCCCCAGTTTTCCTGCACTTGTGTATTTCCCTCATTTTACAAGGGCATGGGCCAAGGTTTGCAACTGTGTCTTCTGCATCTCGGTGGCATGATTCTGCACTTCAGTGGCTTGAGGGTGTTTCCCTTAAGATTCCGTATTTCTCTCTCTTTATCCTAAATCCCTAATACACATTGTTGATTAGGTTTCAACATATAAATTTGAGGGCAACTCAAATATAATCCTTCTGCTGAATTGTCTCACCAAATAGATGAGGAAACTTGAATAAGGCACTCTGTCCCCTGCTCACTTAGTCCCTACCCCAGTGTTTACTTGCTGGTCTTCAGCATATCGCAGAATTCTCCAGCCTCAGGGCCTTTGCACTGCCATCCCTTCAGACTGGACTGTTATTTCCTGAGGAATCTACCTGTGTCATTCTCACATCTAGTTCTCAGGTGACTCACCCTTCCATGCCTCCCCCATTTGAATCCTTTATTCATTTATTCTTTATTTAATTTTTAAAATTGTCATGTAATAGAGATATATTTTTCCCCCTTTAACCATTTTGATCATAAAGGTACCTATTTAAAATTGTAATACCTTGACCTGCTGGAACAGTCCTGAACCTTCTCAACCTGAGTTTTTTCCCCCTCATTTAGTGACCTATTTAAACACACTGTGCCAGATTTTTATTGCTACTATAACAAATTACATATATATATATATATAATTTCATCGTTCTGGAGATGTAAACACCAAACTCTCACAGGGTTATAATCAATAATCATTTCTTTGTAAGGCTGTATTCCTTCAGGAAACTCCAGAAAGAATAGTATTTCCTGGCCTTTTCCTGAGTCTAGAGGAACGTATTTCTTCCTGCCCACATTCATTGGTTCAAGATGTTACTTCTCCATTCTCAAAGGTATCAATGTCAAGGTGACTCCTTAGGGTGCTATCTAGTTCTTCCTCTTCTGCTGGCTTCTTCATTTATAAAACTCCTGTGATGGCTTTGGACACACCTGGATAATCCAGAAAATCACTCCATGTCCAGGTCCACTGATGAGTGACCTTAACTTATCTGCAATAGTAACTCCCCTCCCATGTAACACAGAGGTTCCAGGGTAGGACCCAACTTGTAGCAGGACTGACCCTGGATGACAAGGGCTGCCCACCCCATCTGCCATTGTGTGGCACTTCCTGCCCAAGGCTTCCAGTAAGGCCAGGAGCCCTGGGAACTGGTGACTAGGTGAATTTGCAGGGACACTATAGAGTTCTGCTCATTTCCTCTCTGATTTAATAGACAACTACATTAGTAATCATTATAGAGCCATGTTGATGGGCTTATTACACATAGATATACTTTGTATGACAACTGTCACAAAGAGGGGAAAGGGAACAGAATTATATTGGAGCAAAGATTTTGTATACTATTACATTTAAATTGGTTGAATCCAATCTAGGTTGTTGTAAGTCATTAATTATAATCCCTAGGGAACCCACTAAGAAAATAACTTTTTAAAAAAGCAAGAAAAAGGAACTAAAATGATGCAGTAGAAAATATCTATTTAATAAAGGAGGCAAAAATGATGAGGAGAAAAAACAAAAAAAAAACACCATAAAATATATGGGAAATTGAGAACAAAATGGTAGATATAAGAGCTACATTATTAGTAATTTTATTACATGTTGAAATAGTAAATACTCCAAACGAAATTATAAAAATATAATCACGCAAAACCTATTGGAACTAAGAAGTAAGTTTAGCAATGATACAGGATAAGATATAAACAAAAATCAATTCTCTTTTTATGTGGTTGCAATAAAGATTCTATAAGTGAGATTAAGAAAACAGCTCCCTATATAATCACACAAAAAAGGTAAAATGTGAATAAATTTAACAAAAGAGGTAGAAGACTTTTTCACTGAAACCCACATCTAGATAAAAGTATAGACATTCCATGTTCACAGATAGGAGACTTAATATTGTTACAATGACAATATTCCTTAAGTTTAGTGAATCATAAAGCTCAGTGCAATCCATAGGAAAGTCTCAGCTGTTGTTTTGTGCAGAAAAATGACAAGCTGATCCCAGGATTCCTGTGAGAATGCAAAAGAAACAGAAAAGTCAAAATTATTGTTAAAAAGAACAAAGCTGGAGGATTCACACTTACCAATTGAAAAACTTGCTACAATTCTACAGAAATTGAGACAGTGTGATATAGCATAAAGGTAGACATAAACATGAATGAAATAGAACTGGAAGCGTAGAAATAAATGATCACTTAATTTTGAACACAGGTGCCAGAACAATTCAATGAGGAAAAAATAATCTTTTCAGCAATTTTTAAACAGTTTTGACAACGGAATATCTATGTGCAAAAGAACAAAGTTAGACCCTTTCTTTACACCATACACAGAAATTAACACAAAATAAGTTATCAACCTAAATATATGAAATAAAGTAATGAACACTTAGAAGAAAACATAGGAGTATCTCTGACATTTAATTTAGATGAAGTCTTCTTACAGATCACACCAAAAGAACAAGCAGCAAAAGAAAAAATAAACTGGATTTCATCAAAATTAAAAATGTTTGTGTTGCTTACATTACCATCCAGAAAGTAATTAGCTGGGTGCAGTGGTGCACACCTGTAATCCCAGTGGCTTTGGAGGCTGAGTCAGGAGGATCATGAGTTCAAGGCCAGTCTCAGCAACTTAGCAAGGCCCTAAGCAACTTAGCAAGACTGTGTCTCTAAATAAAATATAAAAGGGTTGGGGATGTGACTCAGTGGTTTAGCACCCCTAAGTTTGATTCTCAGTACCGAAAAATAAATAAATAACAGTAAATTAAAAACACAAGAGAATTTGAGAAATATCTGAAAATCAGATCTAATGAGGAACTTGTATGCAGAATATATATGAACTCTTTTAAAAGTCAATAAGAAAATAAATTTCCCAATAAGCAAAGAGCTTAATAGGCATTTCTCCAAAGAAGATACTCTAACCATCAATGACCAATGAAAAGATGCTTACTATTAATATCTGGAAAATACAAATAAAAACCACAATAAGATACTACTTCACATTCACCTGAATGGCTATAATCAGAAAGACAAATATAAGATATAAATCAGAGCCCACATACTTTTGCTGGTGATTATGTGAAATAATACAACCACTTTCAAAACCAGTTGAGAAATCCCTCAAAATATTATCAGACTCAACAATTCCATTCCTAAACGTATAACCAAAAGAAGTAAAAATACACACACACAACACTGTACAAGAATACTCACAGCAGCATTGTTCAGAATAGCCAAAAAGTAGAAATAATCCAAATGTCATGAGCTAATGAATGTAAAATCAAAATATAGTATATTCACACACTGGATCATTATTTGCCCATAAAACGGTATGAAGTAGTCATACATGCTGTATCATAGATGAACCTTAAAAACATTACACGAAGTGAGAGAAGTCAGTCACACAAAGCAACTTATTGTATGATTCCATTTCTATGAAATGTCTAGAGTAGACAAAAGCACTGAGACAGAAAGCAGATTACTGGTTGCCAGGAGCTACAGGGGAGGGGTGAAGATGTCAGTCCCGTTAGAGATGTGGCTACTAAAGTGTACAGTTTCCTGGAATGATAAAAATGTTGTTGAATAAGATAGCAAAACCACATGTAAACCCAAGAAACCACTGAATTGAACATAAAAGGGCCAGCATTATGCTCTATGAACATCAGAAGGCATGCAGATATCTCAATAAAGCCTCCCCCATGATTCTGATTTTTAAAATAAAGCTCACGGGCCATTTCAGTGGGAGACCACTAGGAGGTTGCTGTAGTAAGAGGCAGCAGGTGAAAGTTGGTGGTTGATCTAGGGTGAGAGTGAGAAATGATCAGATTCTAGTTTAAACTTTTTCCTAATCTGTGAGAACATAAGAGGTTTCCATGCCAAATAAATGTTGTTTGTGGTTTGCATTGTGTGCATGTGTACCTCCACATCTTTAGGATAGCCACATATTTTCTCTTAGGGAGGTGACAGTGGCTAGGAGACAATGCCCAAAACAAAAAAAGATGTTCAGTGTTCCATGTAGGTTTTTGTAAAATAGAGAATAGAGAGGCAATCAGCTCATAGGGCTCCAGCCTAGGACACCAGACTAGATTCTGTGCTCCTGTGTGGCAGCTCCCCTCTGCTGCCATGTTCCTGTATCTACTCCATGATGACCTCCCTGAACACCAAGACCCATGATGAATTTGGCCTGTGATCTCTGATGCCTCCTTTTTCTCTCTATTGGAAATACTGACTGTTCAGCTAGGTTTTAGGTTTCAGGAGGACAGATACCATCTTGTATTTTTTTGTACCCAGAACTTGGTAGAGGTCACTGAAAGTGCTTTCAGATTAATTCTCCTGGTAACAGTGCCTGTGAGGGGTCCCTGATAGCATGAGAGCATCCTACAACCTCAGTTAAAGGTGACACCAAATAAAAGATCTAGATAGAGGAGGTTTAGGATGAGGACTCCTACCTCTGCCAGCATTGCCCTTCAGAGGGAGTCTGGGAGTCACAGAAGGATGGGAACTAATGGTCCTCTTCTCCCTGTCCTGAACCTCACTTCCATGTTTCTCTCATAGGTACCCACTCTCTTTGCCTCGACTTCACAGTCAAATCTCAGTCCAGACCTGGGGAGTCCTGGTGTGAAGTGCAGGGCTCAGTGGATAAGACTGCTTTCCTTCAGTATGACTGTGAGAGCAATAAGATCAAACCTTTGGGTCACCTGGGAAAGGAGGTGAATGCCACCAAAACATGGACACAATTGACCGAAATGCTGAGAGAACTGGGGCAAGATCTCAGGATGATCCTGCTTGACATGGACTTGGAAAAAAATAAGACCATGGGTAAGTATGGAATGGGGTGAAGAGACAGAGAGAGCAGGAATGAGGAAAGGGTGGAGTGCACATGTGGAGGAGGCTCTGGGTGTATTTGTGTAAAAGAGCTGGACATTGGCCCAGCCTTAGAGGGATGTGGGGCTTAATGGGCAAGAAAGGTCAAATCTGGGAGAAAAGAATACAGGCCTCTAAATGTGCAGAGAAAGCTCTACTTATTGGGAGGTGACGGATCTATCAAGAGTGGAAGATGATGGTTTTGTTGTGTATTGCAGGTCATCTCACCCTGCAGGCCAAGATGTCTTGTCAGCTTGAAGGAAAAAATCACATTGGTTCATTCTGGAATTTCAGCATTGATGGACAGCCATCTCTCTGCTTAAATGTGATGCACATGGAGTGGACAGTGATTAATCCTAGAGCCAGGGAGATCAAGGAGAAGTGGGAGAATGACAAAGAACTGACAGAACATTTAAGGAAGGTCTCCATGGGAGATTGCAGTCACTGGCTCAGGGAATTCTCAGAGCACTGGAAGGAAATGCCAGGTAGAGAGCTGAGTTACTATGAAACTCAGCAGGATGGGAAGATGTGGGAGTTCTCTTTAAAAGTATGTTGATTTTCCTGTGGGGTGTGAGCATGTACATATAATGGAAAATTTGATGGGTTGAATGACTGATTTCTTCATTGGCTTCTTGACTGGTCAGTCAGTGATAGCCATGTGGATTTGTCACCAGCTTCCTTTCTCATCTCACCTCCCAAGGTCTCTTCTTTACAGGAGCCCCCATTGTCCATTAATCAATGATCCAGTCATTAATGGTCGGCCAACTAGTTCCCAGGTCTATATACATTTCTGTAAACTTCCAGGCCTTCTCTTGTTACTGTTATCCCTCAACAAATTGGATGGACATTTGCTGTCCTTCCAGTAGTAACGTGAGCTCTATAAGGACATGGCACAACCTCTGTTCATCTTTGTACCCCCAGGACCTGGTAGAATAATTGTCCCATAATGAGTCAGTATATATGAGTTTCGTGCACTGTATGGGGAAAACGGGTGCTGAAGAATGGATATTTTTAATTTTGACAAGGATTTTGCTCTTTTGTTTGTTTTAGCACCAACATCAACAGTCCCAATTACCAGCGGGTCTCCACGTGCCTCATCTGTTTCAGTGACCAGCTTAGTGATCACCATTGTCTTAATTTTAGTCGTCATCATCATCATCTTCATGGCCATCAAGTTCTATATGAAATCAACAGACACCATGAAAGGTGAGGAATAGTCTGACCTCTGGCCTTTGGGTGGCACTGTCTCAGTCTGGTAGAGCCTTGGGACAGGTGTCCCACCAGTTTCACCCAAGCCCCTGGCCACTGATATCTCTCCACAGAAATGATGCCCTTCCTTAGCCTTGAGCACTGCCCACTCCACAGTAGTGCTGGAATGACTGCTGCTGAGTAGAGGAGGCCACTGTAGGTAGCACAGCAGTGCAGTGAGAGGAGGGACACACAGGAGTCTCTTCCTGAGTTGGGGCAGTGCCTGAGATCTGGAGAATCTGGGTGGGTGTTGGCTCCAGATCTTTGGTTGAGGAGTTATTTGCTCTCTAGGATAATATAACATAGGTTAATAATTTTCCTTAATGTTGTAGAAGCTGTTCCATCATCTACTATGTCTTCTGTGGACCATGGGAAGGCAACATCATCAGACCAACCCTTGGTGGCAAGAAGTGTCCTTAGATGACATTCTCTACTTTGCCACTCTTTCCAACAAACTTTCCTCCATTTGAGTGAAACTGGAAAGGCTGTGGACATGTTCCTTATTTGTAGAGGAAGATGAATTAAAAGGATATTTATCTTGGTTTAATGAGGTTTATCTATGTATTCACACTTATTTTTGTATACAATTAAGTTACTGATGGACAGAAATCACAAGTCAACTGTGCTAACTCACTAGATATTATGACACAAACGATTAAGGCCACAGCCTGAAGTGACATGTGAATATCTTAACATGTCTTGTGAAACCTGGCACAGTAGAAAGGATAAAGTGTGACATGTTTTTAGCTGGAACAGTTATCTTGTAAAACACATGGATAACACCCATAGGATAGGATCTATGACTATCTTAGATACAATTTTCATAGATAGGAAGAACACACCAGACCCAAAAGAATCAATACTTTATGAATCAATTAATCTACATTTTTAAAACCAACAAAACTTATCTTTAGTATAGAAGTCAAAATATGGGGGCGGGGAGGATTCAAGATAGCACTTTAGAGGAAGGCTGCATTCCTAGTGTCTCCATGGCTTGGGATTCAAGCAGCAGGAATACTGCTTCTCTGAGCGGTGGGTAAAAGATGGATTTCATTAAAACTCAATATTGGACACTCACTGTGTCTGGGAGACTCAGAACTTTGGGTATATAAAACAAAGAAGAAAGAGTACATTGGAGCCAAATTGTTTGTGGCAGCAGCAGTAGCGCTACAGGTTTAGCACAGAGGGAGTGATAACACGGAAACACAATGAACAGATTTAGTACAGAAAAACCTAAGTGTAGGCAGCAATGACTTGAAAAAATAAGGGGGCAGGGGGGAGTATTTTCAATACACCAAGAATTTCAGAGCTCAGGCTATGGAATTTGATCACATAGTTCATATCCCAGAGTCCACTACTGCCAAGTCATTTAAGCTTCTTAGTTTCCAGTTTCCTCATCTTTAAAATGGGAATACTAATGGTACCTTGCCATCTGTTGTTTTGCAGATTGAGTTAAGTAACACCAGGACAGCCAGAAAAATATAAGCACATCAGTGCACTTTATTACTGACCCTTGACCCTTGTCATATCCTCAGCATGAGTAACCCACCTCACAACAAAACTGGGCTCTCTGCCATCTGACATTGTCCCACAAGCTGAGGAAAACCAGCAGTACATGTGCCATTCTCAGAAAGCCCCCGAAAGACATTGCCTCCTTCTGCAGTTAGCCCTTTATTAGGGATTTTCCCTGCTGTATCTCCTGGGGTGGGGTTTCCTGTGTGCTGAAGAGAGTTTCCCCCAGTGAGTTCGCAGATGTGACCCTTAGCGACCTTCATTGCAACCCAGAGGAACAAGGCATGTTCTGTCCGAGGAAGAATGGATCTGAAGCCCTGGAGGTGGGCAGGAGGCTCTTCCAGATATTCTTTCCTTAAGGGCCCTGCCTCAGCCTTGGAGATAAGGGCTGCTTCCCAGACACGCCACCTATGAATCTTTAGAGCTCTTTCTCTCTAAGTAGATAATCACTGTTAGAGTCAATAATTCCTCATATTAAACATTGCCTCTATAAAATACTTTAGTTTTATTTTCACAACTGGACCTAGACTGACACCACTGCTCTCCAAATCATTATTCTGTATTATTTTGGCATGGCCAGTGAGTAACTCACCACACAAATGCCCCTTCCCAATGCATACTTCTCAGTCTTCCATCAGGCAGGCATGGTATCTCAGGCCTATAATCCCAGTGATTGGGTATGCTGAAGCAGAAGGATCACAAGTTCAAGACCAACCTCAGCAACTTTTTTTTTTTAAATGGCGTATCTTTTTTTCTTATAATATTTTTGTTTTGTTTTAGTTATTTATTTTCAGTATTTTTATTTGCTCTTTTTAATTATACATGATAGTAGAAAGTATTCTGACATATATACATACATGGAGTATAACTTCCCATTGTTGTGGTTTTACATGATGTGGAGTTACACTGTTCATGTATTTATAGAGAAACATAGGAAAGTTATGTCTGATTCATACTGTCTTTCCTTCTCCCACCCCCCTCTGTTTCCCCATTTACCTGTGTCTAATCCAGAGAACCTCCCCTTATTGTGAGTCAGCCTCCCAGCCTCAGCAACTTAGTGAAGCTAAGCAAGTTAGGAAGACTGTCTCAAAAATAAATAAATAATTTTTAAAGGACTGGCGTATAGCTCAGTGGTAATGTGCCTTTGGATTCAGTTTCCAATAACAAAAATTTCTATTTCTTAATAAAATGTAAAATCGTGTAAGTAGATATTACCTAATATTTTTCAAAAGATTAGTCTACCATTCATGTCAGTATGAAACACATGAGATCATCTGAACAGGTAAATGTTGTTGCCCCTGTACACCCAACACAGGAAGCCTATTTAAGAGCTGGAGGAACACACTTGTTTCCTCTTGGAGTTCTCTCAATTGGTCTTGAAAAACTGGTTCAAGAATCTTTTACAAAAAATGATATTTTCCAAGTCTCAGAACAAGAAGACTCAGGTAGTCCTTCTAGAACTCTCCTCTAAACCAGCACTTCTCAACTATAGATGATTTTGTCCATCAAACATTTGACACTTTCTGGAGGCAAATTAGGCTATTACATGGGTAGAGGGTGCGAACTATCTGGCCCAAATGGCAGTAATTATCAGGCTAAGAAATCTCTCAGAATTTGGACTGGCCAGTGCCCATTGCCCATAACACATTACCACATGTCGCTCACATCCTGCTTGGGCGAGGAAGTGGGTACCCATCAGAGGGATGGACTGGCTGTGAAATAAAAGCTTTGAAATAAAGACAAAAGGCAAGAATTATATATTTTCAAAGCACAGGCATGACCTGTTTAGCTGACCAGAGGGGTCTGACTTCTAACAAAGAAAAAGCCCATGCTTGCTTTATTTATAGTGGTACAGAACAAAGGGGATAGATAGAGATTTCCTTGGGGCAGGGAGGGTGGACAGGATGAGAGAAGAGACAAAGAGGTTGTTTATCCTTGGCAGGTTATGCTCAACTCCAGTGGCTGTGTTTGAACAGGAGCTGTGAGCTAGGACAGGATGCCAGCATGATCTGGGATATCTCCAACTAGGGAATTTCACCCAGGAGTTCCTGGAAGACGGACTTCCCTGCCTTAATGGCACCAACATTGTCCAGTTTGCATACAGTTCACACATGGCTCCTAACACATCACACAGTTCCAACAGTGGCCAATCTTATTGTGTGCACATTCATCAAAGCCCAGGAATGGAACTTATTTGCAGAGGAAATTAAAATTCACTAAAATACTGAGGACTGTCATTATCCTGGCTCTCCCTGGGGGCACTCCTGTTACCAGGTCTATTCTCATCCTCTAAGTCCAAGACTCACTCCTCTTGGCTGAACTCTAGAATTCTTGTCCAAAGTGAAGTAAGGCAGAAAACCATTCAGTGCTTGAAGCAGCCAAACGTGAATGGCAATACAAAAGGAGCACCCAGTCTGAAGCAAGGGATGGTGATCAGAAAAAAATGGAAAGAACCAGACACTAAAGGGATGGTTTATAACCAATTATTGTAATTTCTGACTGCAAAATTGATTCATACTGATCACAGATTGTTTTAGTCAGCTTTTTCACTGCTATGACTAAAAGACCCAACCAGCACAACTGTAGAGGAGGAAACGTTTATTTAAGGGCTCACAATTTCCAAGGTATTATTTCACAGAAGGCCAGCTCGATTCCTCGAGGCTCATGGCACAAGAGTGTGGCACAGGGAAGCAGCTCTCATGTTATCAGAAAGCAGAGAGAGGTCTCCACTTGCCAGATACAAATATATACCCCATAGCCACACCCCACCGGCCTCCAGTGATCACTCAGTAATCCCATCAGGTATTAATTCGCTGGCTGGGTTAAGGCTATAACCCTATCAGTTTTCCTCCAAACACTCTTGCATTGTCTTACACATGAGCTTTGGGGGGATACCACATCTAGACCATAACACAGACCATTTGAAAATTAGTAATATATAGCCAGGTGCAGTGGCACCTGTAATCCCAGCAGCTCAAGAGTTGAGGCAGGAGGATTGCAAATTCAAAGCCAGCCTCAGCAATTTAGTGAGGCCCTAAGCAACTCATTGAAACTCTGTGTCTAAAGGGCTGGGTATGTGGCTCAGTAGTTGAGTGCCCCTGGGTTCAATCCCCAGTACCACAAACAAACAAACAAACAAACTTACATGTATGTTAACTACTCAAAGATAATTAGTATGGGTAGCATCAGGAAGATCGCCAAATAGGAGTGCTTCAGCTTCATCCTGCCCCACTCATACAAATTCACCCAGCAAATTTCCAAAGACAAGAACATTACCCTGGGAGTGAGCCTAGACAACATTTCTCAAGAAATGCAGGATTCAAAGGGTAAGTGAAACTGCTTTTCCCATGCTGTCCCTCCCCCAGCTGGAATGAAACCACACACATCCCCCTACACACAAGAGCTTTTACAGTGCAAAATGTGAGGTAGAGGTGGACATTCAGCTTCACTGATATTTTGGGGCTCTTCACAAGAGGCAGGCCCCTGTCTTGCCACCCCCCCCCCAAAAAAAAAAAAAAAAACATTGGGAGAACTGGCAGAACTGGATTAACTGTAGCAATTGTAAGCAAAAAAGGAGAGCCCACAGCAAAAGATGTGCATATCTTGGTGGTTGCCCTATGCTTTGGCCCAGGG